TCCAGACAGGCCCTCCCTTCTCAGTGGACAGACATGGCCACGCCAGGCCCTTGAGCGTGACCACCTGTTGCTGCCGCCACTGCTCTATGTGCTACTGTCTGCAATGAAGGCATGGGCTGGTGGGACTGCCACAGCCCCTCCCTGGCCAGGCCTGGCCCTGGTTCACCTGAGAGCTCTCTGAAGCAGATCATTTTTCCCCTGGGGCTAAGACTGACTGCAGATGGGCAAATGGCATGATGGAAGTGTTTGAAAACTGATTTGTGGTAGTGGTTGCACTACTGTGTAAATTTACTGAAACTCATCCAAGAATATACTTACTATGGGTGAATTGTATGGCATGCAAATTATTCCTTGATAAAGCTATTTAAAATGTATATATACAGGCCAGGCGAGGTGGCTTACGCCTGTAATCCTAGCTCTCTGGGAGGCCAAAGAGGGCAGATTGCTCGAGGTCAGGAGTTCGAAACCAGCCTGAGCAAGAGCGAGACCCCGTCTCTACTATAAATAGAAAGGAATTAATTGGCCAACTAATATATATATATATAAAATTAGTCAGGCATGGTGGCGCATGCCTGTAGTCCCAGCTACTTGGGAGGCTGAGGCAGGAGGATTGCTTGAGCCCAGGAGTTTGAGGTTGCTGTGAGCTAGGCTGATGCCACGGCACTCACTCTAGCCTGGGCAACAAAGCAAGACTCTGTCTCAAAAAAAAAAAAAAAAAATGTACATATACAGTCACGCACTGCATTACAATATTTCAGTCTACACAGGTGGTCCCATAAGATTATAATACCTGTATTTCTATTGTACCTTTTCCATGTTTAGATATTTTTAGATACACGATTATGTTCCATTGTGTTACAACTGCCTCCAGCATTCAGTCCAGTAACCTGCTGTACAGGTGTACAGCCTAGGAGCTGTGCTCCACCAGAGCCCAGGTATGCAGGAGGCTAGACCATCTAACTGTGTCTAAGCACTCTGTGATGTCACACAGTGATGAAATCACCTAATGACACATTTCTCAGAACATATCCCTGTTAAGTGACACGATTATATATATAAAATGAATTATCTTAAAACCACAATTGGTGAGGGATTACCATCTTCTAGGTATTTTATAGGACACCTTGGTTTATGATTCTGAATTTGAAAAAGAAGAAAGGAAGCTGAATTGGATGCTGTGGACTTTGTGTGACCTACGATAAATCCATATCCTCTTGGGCCTCAGTTTCCCCATCCATGATATCCTGATGCTCTTAGAGGAGGGGAGGAATGGCAGGGTGACAGAGCCTCTGCTGTGATACCTGCCCTAGCTCCAAAGGTGCCGTGGACTCTTGGTTCATACCAGGCGCCACTGTGAGCTTTGTCTTTGTGACAGGACCACTTCTGCCTTCCTGTCTTTGTACAGAGAATTTCCTCCCTCCAGCCCCATGGTGCTGCAACACATGGCCAGGAACAATTGGAAAATTTGGATTGGCTTGGTCTCATTTCCCCCCAGTCGTGGCCCTTTCCTTTGACCCAGACCAGAGAAGTAGCCAAGACACCACCCTGGAGAAAACCTCATAGATCGACTGGATGGAACACCTACTGGGCACTTACACACTTTGCACACTCTACTTCCTCTCCCCCAGCAGCCTTGACAGGTGGCCTTAGCCCATTTTACAGAGGAGGAAACAGAGGCTTATAAAGAGAGAGACACATTTGCTCAAGAGAAACATTTGTTCAAAGCAACATAGCTGGTAAGTACTGAGCTTCCTGCTCTTCCCACTGGAGCCCACTGCTTGGGAAGAGGCCAGGCTCCTTGTTCAGGCAGAAGCTGGGGATTGTTGACTTGTTTGGGAGTTACCTGCCTTCCTCTCCTGCTCTCTCATTCTTGTCAGAACAGCTGAAATGCCACCTCCTCCACCAAGACTTCCCTGAAACTTCCACCCACTCGCCCAGCAAGTTCTGCTACCCTCTCCTCTGGGTCCCAGCAGCAGAAAGTTTCCAGGAACTATGAGTAGCTCTACTTGGAGCATGGAAGGAATTAGGCCTTGGGAGTCAGAAGAAAATTTCATGCTATGCTCTCAATGTTTGTGTCCCCTCAAAATTCATACGTTGAAGTCCTAACCTCTAACTTGATGATATTAGGAGGTGGGGCCTTTTTTTTTTTTTTTTTTTTTTTTGAGAGAGTCTCACTTTGTTGCCCAGGCTACAGTGAGTGCCCTGGTATCAGCCTAGCTCACAGCAACCTCAAACTCCTGGACTCAAGCCATCCTCCTGCCTCAGCCTCCCAAGTAGCTGGGACTACAGGCATGTGCCACCATGCCCAGCTAATTTTTTCTATATATTAGTTGGCCAATTAATTAATTGGCCTCTCTTTTTAGTAGAGAGGGGGTCTCCCTCTTGTTCAAGCGGGTTTTGAACTCCTGACCTTGAGCAACCCACCCGTATCAGCCTTCTAGAGGACTAGGATTACAGGCGTGAGCCATCTTGCCCAGCCAGAAGGTGGGGCCTTTAGGAAGTGATTAGTTCATGAGGGTGGAGCCCTCATGGGTGAGATTAGTGCCCTTATAAAAGAGGCCCAAGAGAGCTAGCTAGCCCCATCCACCTGTGAGGACACAGAGAGAAGGTACTGTCTTTGAGGAAGTGGACCTTTGCCTGCAAATCACCTGGGCAGGTAAAATCAGAGAGGCCATGTGTTCTGGGAACTAGAAATTTTCCAGTGTGTGTAGCAGGACAACCTTTCTCACTGCAAAAGTAGCAAAATTGTGAGTCTATTAGTGAGTGTGATGAGTAGTCATAAACAGTGAACATTTATTCAGAGCTTCCTATATGCTGTTCTAAGCTCTGTCTTATGGGCTATGTACCATCATCACCCCCATTTCAGAGATGAGGTAACTGAGGCCCAGAGAGGTGAAGAAATACCAGAAGTCACACACAGCGGGGAGTGTATCACCAGATACAGAATCTGCCAGTTCCTCAATCTCAGACCTCCAGCTTGAACTGTGAAAAATAAATTTCTCCTGTTTGTAACCCTCCCAGTCTACAGTATTTTGTTTATTTATCATAAAAAAGAGGTTTTTTTTGTTTTTGTTTTTGAGACAGAGTCTTGCTTTGTTGCCCAGGCTAGAGTGAGTGCCGTGGCATTAGCCTAGCTCACAGCAACCTTAAACTCCTGGGCTTAAGCGATCCTGCTGCCTCAGCCTCCCGAGTAGCTGGGACTACAGGCATGCGCCACCGTGCCCGGCTAATTTTTTGTATATATATTTTTAGTTGGTCAATTAATTTATTTCTATTTTTAGTAGAGATGGGGTCTCACTCAGGCTGGTTTCGAACTCCTGACCTGGAGCAATCCACCCACCTCAGCCTCCCAGAGTGCTAGGATTACAGGCGTGAGCCACCGTGCCAGGCCATGAAAAAGAGGTTTTTCTTTTTTCCAAAAATTGTACCAAACGAAAGCAAAGCACTAGCTGATGCGGGCGTGCCGGGTGGGCACTGGCAGTGCTGCCCTCACCACTCCTTCCCTGGACTGGGGTGGCCCCCAGAGGATGGTTGGTCTTTTATTAAAGAAGCTCCAACAGACTAACAGGCCAGGCCTCTCCCTCGGGCCATGGGGAGTCACAGCAGGGTTTCGAGCAGGGTGGAACAGCAGATATGATTTAAAAGATGACTCCAGCTGCTGGGTGGGGGACGGGCACACCCGAGGGGCTGGGTGGAGGCTGCAGCCCAAGCTCATCCAGTGGCGCCTCATCGGGGAGGAGTGGCAGCAAGCCACCTTTCACCTTTCTCTGCCCTTCCTTGCTCCCACTGTTCCTGTCCCCAGCCCCACTCCCTGGGGCCCAGAGGAGCCTGCCTATATGATAAGCTCCAGGGAGTGCCCACTCCATGGCCTGCTGCTCCTCCCAAAGAGTTTTTAGCCGGTTTCATCCGGCGGTGCTGAATGGTGGGCATGCAGGGCAGGTGACCATGGGCAGTGTGACCAGAGAGGCCCTGAGCCCCCAGGGGGGCTGAGAGTAGGCCAGGGGGTGCCAGGGAAGCCCAGGGAGAGTCCTCAAACAGCTACTCCTGGCTGACTCAGACCCTCCTGCCCTTCTTATCAGGCCTGAAGAACGATAACTGGCCAGTTCCTGGACTGTGGGTTCTAGGCCTTTGTCTGGAGCCACCAGGAAGTAACTTGTGGGTTTTGCTGTTGCTTAAGGAATGGGCTGATTCACTGGGGGCGGGGGGGGGGGCGTGCCTGGAGAGCCTGCAAGCACCGGCTGCACCACCAGCACCGCAGCACAAGCGCCCAGGTGGAGGGGCACCAGTGGAGTGTGTCCAGTCACCATCAAGCGCCGGCTCGTGCTTTGGGGGCATTTCTCACTGCAGGCTTAGCAGAGTTTGGCCCAGGGCATCCTTTATTTGCGTTTCAAGCAGAAAATATTTCCAGAATATTCTTTTTTTGTTTGTTTTTTTGTGACAGAGTCTCACTCTTGCCCAGGCTATAAGGCATGAGCCTAGCTCACAGTAACCTCAAACTCCTGGGCTCAAGCAATCCTCTTGCCTCAGCCTCTAGAGTAGCTGGGACCACAGGCATGCGCCACCGTGCCTGGCTAATTTTTTCTCTGTATATTAGTTGGCCAATTAATTTCTTTCTATTTTTAGTAGAGACTGCGTCTGGCTCTTGCTCAGGCTGGTTTCGAACTCCTGACCTCGAGCAATCCACCTGCCTTGGCCTCCCAGAGTGCTAGGATTACAGGCGTGAGCCACTGTACCTGGCCCAGAATATTCTTATTATTCCACAAATGTATTAAGTGTTTGCTAAGTGGCAGACACTTAAATGAGTGTAAAATTAGCCGGGCATGGTGGCGAATGCCTGTAGTCCCAACTACTCTGGAGGCTGAGGCAGGAGGATTGCTTGAGCCCAGGAGTTTGAGGTTGCTGTGAGCTAGGCTGACGCCACGGCACTCACTCTAGCCTGGGCAACAAAGTGAGACTCTGTCTCAAAAAAAAAAAAAAGGAAGAAAGAAAGAAAAACCAAAAGACAGAGTAGTGCAGGGGAGGGGGGGCTTCAGGAGGTTGGTAAGTCCCTGAGGAGCCACATAGTTACACAGGGTCCTCAAAGGAGACTGAACCAAGCATGGTCCAGGGGGTTCTTCCAGGATGGAAATGGTCCCCGCCCAGCCGCAGCACGCTCCTCTGTGCGATGAGAGCCTGGGTCAGGCGTTCTTCACAGGCCAGACATAAGTGAGTAACCTGAGTTCATAATCGAGCAGGCAGGCAGGCTCCTCTTCCAGGCTCTGGAAGGGAGAGGAGGGCATGGTTCTCAGAGATGAGATAAAAGAACAGGAAATTCCCAGCCCTTTGGGAGAGATCATATTAGTCAAGACAGAAAAGCAATTCCAAAAAAGGGAAGGTTCTGACTCATGTCACTGAACCATCTTTTGTCAGGACTCTGGTCCCTCAGCACTTACCAGGCTGGTTCAGATGTTCTCTTTACCTGTCGACCAAGATGTGCACTGATTCCCCGGGCTCATGTGCTGGTGGAAAGAGATGCTCTGGCAGAAAAGTCTCAGGGGAAATGCTTTTTCTTTTTTGAGACAGAGTCTCACTCTGTTGCCCAGGCTAGAGTGAGTGCCATGGCGTCAGCCTCGCTCACAGCAACCTCAAACTCCTGGGCTCAAGCAATCCTCCTGCCTCAGCCTCCGGAGTAGCTGTGACTACAGGCATGCGCCGCCACGCCGGGCTAGTTTTTTCTATATATATTAGCTGGCCAATTAATTTCTTTCTATTTATAGTAGAGACAGGTGCTCTTGCCTTGCTCAGGCTGTTTGCGAACTGTTGACCTCAAGCAATTGACCCACTTCGGCCTCCCAGAGTGCTAGGTTTACAGATGTGAGCCGCCTCGCCAGGCCTCAAGGGAAATTCTGATTGGCTTATTTTGAGTCACATGCCATCCCTGAACCTATCGCTATGGTGTGGTGTGGCAAAGCAGCTTTCTGATTGGCCAGCATCACATGCCCTTCCCCACTGGGTCTTGTTGCAGGTAGGGATAGCAGCCGACCCTCACAGAACAGGTAGACAGTGGAAAAGGAAGAGGCGGAAGCAGGAAAATCCCACCAGACGTAGCCACCCAGGGGCTAGCTCCTCAGTGCCCAGCCTTCCCAGGCCCACACTCTGCCAGGCCACCCCCGTCAGGCCAAGACGCCAAAGAGTCATGTATCACCTGGAGAGGCTCTCAGCGTCTGGTCGGTGGGGGATTTTCAGCCTCAGCACTACTGACATTGGCGCCGGCCCTGCCGCCAGGGGGGTGCCCAGCAGCCTCGCCCGCCTCCTCCCGCTACTAGGCGGCAGCACCTTTTCCGTGACAATCAAAAACTATCTGTCACGCCTGTAATCCTAGCACTCTGGGAGGCAGAGGCGGGCGGATTGCTTGAGGTCAGGAGTTCAAGACCAGCCTGAGCAAGAGCGAGACCCCATCTCTACTTTAAATAGAAAGAAATTAATTGGCCAACTGATATATAGAGAGAGAAAAAATTAGCCGGGCATGGTGGCGCATGCCTGTAGTCCCAGCTACTCGGGAGGCTGAGGCAGGGATGTCGAGCCCCAGGAGTTTGAGGTTGCTGTGAGCTAGGCTGACGCCACGGCACTCACTCTAGCCTGGGCAACAGAGTGAGACTCGTCCTAAAAAAAACCGTCTCCAGGGAACACTCACTCAGGCTTCCTGGGCTTGTGGCTCCCCAGCAAAGACGGTGTCTCCAGCCCGAGCCGCGCGCCTCAGGGCTGTGTGATGGGCGAGCGGTACGCGGCCGAGCAGTGCCGGCCTCTGGCATCCCCTAGCGGGATGTGGAGGCGAGGCTTCGTGAGGCAGGAGGGGGAGGGGCGGCGGCGGGGAGGAAGGTGGCGGCGGCGAGCGGAGTAGGGGCGGCGGGCGGGGGGGGCAGGAGTAGGGGGGCGGGGAGGCAGGAGTAGGGAAAGGAGCAGGAAGGTGGGGGGGAGGCGGGGGGGAGGGCGCGGGAGTTAGGGGGAGGCGGCAGAGGGAGGGGCAGGAGTGGGGAGGCAGGATGGGGGAGGCAGAGTAGGGGAGGGGAGGCAGGAGTGGGGGCAGGAGTCGGGAGGGGCGGCAGGATAGGGGAGGGGCGGGCAGGAGTGGGGGGAGGAGGAGTGGGGGAGGCGGGTGGGGGGAGGCAGGAGTAGGGGGAGGGAGGCAGGATGGGGGCAGGCATGGAGCGAGTGGGAGGCAGGGAGTGGGGGAGGCGGCCGACCCGGCGGCCGCGGTAATTGAGCCGGGCGGCTAGCGGCGGGCCGACCGGAAGCGCGCGGAGTGAGTGTCGGAGAAGGCCGGGCCGCGCCGCGGGCCGGACCTGGGTTCCGGGAGCCGAGGCTTGGCGCCGGGACGCCACGCGCCGCCCGGAGAGCCTCCGGCCTCCCTCCTCCAGCGGCGGGAGTGACCGCGAGGCCCGGCGCTTGCGGGAAGGGCCGTGGCCTCCACCTCCTCAGGCCTCCCCGGCTCCCTGACGCCAGGTCCCCACGCTTGGCGTCGTCGTCCCGGCCTCGCCGCAGGGACCTGCGAGCCGCCTCCTGCGCTTCCCCTTTCCGCAAACGGAGAGCGCGGGAGGCTCGCCGGGGCTGGGCAGGGCGATCGCAGCTTCTGACGCTCGCTGCCAGCCGGCAACTGCAGGGCTTGCCGCACGCAGAAGCAGCTCAAGCGCAGCGACCACCGCCCGGCCCGGCGCAGACCCGCGCCGGCCACGCGCAGAACCGCCGGGGCCGCCGCAGACCCCCGCCGGCCGGCCGCGGCGCAGCAACCCTGGCCGCCCCAGGCCGCGGTGCCGGCAGGGCCTTCCCCCGGAAGTGCCTTCGGAGGGAACGCCGAACCAATGGCTGATGAAGGACTCTTCTGGGACTTGAGCCCAGAGCTCGGTCATCAGGCAGCTTGAACTGACAAGTCCTGGGTCCAGCCCCGGGCAGAGCCCAGCTCAGGAGTTGCTGATGGCCTTGGCATGGAGAGGCCGCCTTCCCTGTCAGGACAGAGGCTGGGGGCTGCCCCTGCCCACAGAGCACAGCGGCCAGGCCGGACGGCTGCCCGGGAGGCCGCAGGCATTGCTCCCTGACTCACAGCCCGCCCGCTCAGGGCAGGGACAGGGCCGCGGTCCGGGCAGCGAGGCCAGCTGGGACGTCCAGGAGGGCAAGCAGGTCTGCGTGAGGGCGCCCCTCCCTGTGAAGTCTCCCTTTTAGGCGGAAAGTTGCACGATTGGATCCTGGTTCAAGTCGCCACTGTCATGAATCTCTGCTGCATTTCTCCACCTGTTGGACCCTTCTCCATGGCGCACTGCGAGCCCTTAAGTACCCGCTGGCACTGCCGCCTCTGTGGCAGCGCATGGGTTTCTAGGTTACTAGTAGGGTGGAAGGAGAGTTCTGCACATCTAAAATGATCTGGGGGGTCTGGGGCCCTTTTACTGGGTTCCCCTATGGCCCTCTCTGCACAGGGCTCACTCAGCACATAGTATGTGTTCAATAAACATGGACAGACTGACAAATCACCTCACCAGGTGTTGTGCTTTTCGTTTTTGTTTTTCTTTTTTGAGACACAGTCTCACTCTGTTGCCCAGGCTAGAGTGAGTGCCCTGGCGTCAGCCTAGCTCACAGCAACCTCAGACTCCTGGGCTCAAGCGATCGTCCTGCCTCAGCCTCCCGAGTAGCTGGGACTACAGGCATGCGCCACCATGCCCAGCTGATTTTTTATATATTTTTAGTTGTCCAGCTAATTTCTATATTTTTAGTAGAGACGGGGTCTCCCACTTGTTCAGGCTGGTCTCCCTCCCAGAGTGCTGGGATTACAGGCGTGAGCCACTGTGCCCGGCCACACACCATTATTTTATATGCCACTAAGAAAGAAAAACACTATCAGAAAGCTCCTATAACTTAAGATGTTTATTTTTTCTTCATTGAAAAAGTTTTTCTTGTTATCTGTATATAAAAAGAAAAACAGTAAAATAAGTGAATCAGATTTTTTTGGCAATGACAATTTCATCCTGACTGCCACTCGGCCAACAGCATTTTTGAGGCTTGTTGACCCCCTTGCAGAGATGTAATGGGTGGGAAGTATGTTTTCCTGAGCCCCACACCATGGTCTCTCCCAGGCATTGATCTCGAGTGCTGGGGTGAAAGCAAAGTTGCTACCTGCACCAGAAGCTGGTGGCGGGGTGACTTTCAAGGCCGCTGAATCAGGGAGGACATCTCAGTTCTGAAGGCCGGAAGCCCAAAATCGAGGTGCTGGCTCAGTTGTTCCCCTCCAGAGGCTCCGAGAGTCTTCTCCTTGCCTCCCTCCTAGTGTCTGGTGACTGCCCGCAACCCTTGGTGTCCTTGGCTTGGGATTTGTCACTCTGGTCTCCGCCTCTGTCTTCACTGGGCATTCTCTTTCCTATCTCATAAGGATGTCTGCCCTTGGATTTAGAGCCCATACTAAACGAGGATGATCTCATTTTGAGGTCTTTACCTTAATTTTATCTACAAAGACTTTTATTCCAAATAAGCCCTATTCTGAGGTTCCTGATGGACATATCTTTTGAGAGCCACAATTCAAACCACTGCATGTCTGAAATGTCACCTCTTCAGAGAAGCCTTCCCTGACCACCCCTGCTAAACCAGCCCCCACCAAGTCCATTGTCAATGTTTTGTGTTCTTCCTAGTATTGGTCACTGCCTGGATTTATAGTTTTTACTTATGATTAAGTTTATTCCCCCCCCTAAAATATAAACCCCAATTCACGGGGCTATATATTAATGTTAGCACACAACCCATACATAATACATGCTACCTAGGGGTCACATTCACCTGGTTTTTCGCTGTGTCACCCAGTCCCTCTTAGAGCAGCCAGCACACAGTGAGCGCCAAGATAGACATGTTAAGTGAAAAACAAAGCTTCCTTCTGGGAAGCTCAGGGCCAGAGAGTTGACCTCTCTTCAATAAGAAAGGGAGTCTCTCGGCAGGGCGCGGTGGCTCACGCCTGTCATCCTAGCTCTCTAGGAGGCCAAGGCGGTGGATTGCTCAAGGTCAGCAGTTCAAAACCAGCCTGACCAAGAGCGAGACCCGTCTCTACTATAAATAGAAATTAATTGGTTGTTAGGGACCGACCTTCCACAGCCCAGCCGCCGCAGAAATGCGAGACTGTTGGGACCGGGTTTTGCACCCCGCCAGCAGACGAACAAAGACACCAAGGATCAATCACTCAAGAGGAGCTTTATTTTTTGGCTAGCCAAGGTCCAGGCCCTAGAGTGCCAGCGCAGTGCCGCTCTTAAGGCACGGACCCCGACCTGAATTTGCGGGTGCTTTATCCCCCCCAAAGGGCCTAGCAAGCACAACCAATTACGCGCTGGCCATGACTGACCTTTGAAGTGATTATTTTCTTTGAATTCTGCGCGATCCCTGGGCATCCCACCTCCCTTTTGGCCTTTCTTCCCAACCAAGGATAACCGGAGGTATGAGTATAAACAGATGTGTGCTGTTCGCTAATTGCCTCACCCTACTTCACACGAAGGGGGAATACCTTTCTTTTGTGCCACTGGACGTGCCAAAGGGCCATCGAGGCGCCCCCACATTCCCCCTTTCTTTACATAGCGACGGCACTCTTGCTCGTCTCTG